CGACGACGACGACGTGCTCGTGGTGCTGCTGCTGCTGCTGCTGCTGCAGCGGCATGGGCTGCGCTAGCGGCAATAGCAACAGCAGCAGCAGCAGCAGCAAAAGTCGCCATAATATCTACAGCAGCGACAGGATAGTGCTGCGTTGGCAGCAGCAGCAGCAGCGATATTCGCTGCAGCAGCAGCAGCAGCAGCAACAGCAGCAGCTGCTGCTTTTTTCCCTCGTCGCCTTCAATGAACATTGTTCTTTATTTATATAACATTATTATTTATATACATAAATAATTATATATAAAATAAATAAATAAATAAATAAATAAATAAATAAATAAGCAGCAGCAATCCCCTCCTCCCTTGCATGCAATAGGATAGAGAGCAGCAAATAGATACAAAGGAGCAGCAAATAGCAGCAGCAGCAACAGCAACAGCAGCAAAACTGCACACTCTTGTCTACTTGCATGCACAGACAGCACAGCACATAATCAATCATGTACAACCAGATGTACTGCAGCAGCAGCAACTGCAGCAGCATCTGCTGCTGTTGCTGCTGCAGCACAGCAGTAGCAGCAACAAATAGAACTGCTCAACCTAAACAATCAAACTAACACGAATACTTGTACACTGCAGCAGCAGCAGCAGCAACAGCAACTGTTGCTGCAGCAGCAGCTGCTACTTCTGCTGCGGCACGGCTCGCTTCCTCTTCCTCTATACTAATACTAGTACTATTATTTATTTATTAATAATTATTTATCTATTTATTTATTATTAATTATAATAATTCTTGTCTTATATACATTTCTTTCTGTATATTTGTTTGTTATATAATTAGGGTGTACGTACACTGCAAAAGGTTGCAAGTGGCGGCCACGCTCCCAGCCAACCCAATAGGCAGCGCCTTGCTGCTGCTGCTCCTGCAGCAGCAGCAAGGCAAGCAGCAGCAGCAGCACGTCTAGCTGCTACACTGCCTACGGGGCTAGGGCTATTAGCTGCTTTGCTGCTCATTTTGTTGTTGTTGTTGCTGCTGCAGTTGCTGCAGCAGCTGCAGTGGCCATTGCAGCTGCTGCTGGTGTGCTGTTGCTGCTGCAGTTACTGCTAGCTAGCCGCCAGTAGCAACCTGTGCAGCAAAATGGCCACCAACTGTTCTCACAACCAGCAGCAGCAACAGCAGCAGCAACAACAGCAGCAGCTGCAGCAGCAGCAGCAGCAGCAGCAGGAGCGACATGTGAACAGGAGCAATGGGTGTATAAATAGAAGAAGGCCGCAAAAGACTTTGATGCCGAAACAGAAAAAGAAGAGAAAAACTGCAGCAGCAGCAACTGCAGCAGCTGCTGCAGCAAGACTGCAGCAGCAGCAACACTGCAGCAGCAGACAGGACTGCAGCAGGAAGAAGAGGAGGAAGCAAGAAAAGGAACAAGAAGAGGAAAAGTACAAGATAAGGAGACACAACAGAAAGATGCCTCACCGCATGCAATTGAATTTGCTGCTGCTGCTGCTGCTGTTGCTGTACGAATACAGCAGCAGCAGCAGCAGATGCTGCAGCGGCGAGTAGGAATATATATAATAAATAAATAAATAAATAAATAAATAATATTAATATTAATAATATTAATATTAATAATAATAATAATTAATATATATATATACAATATATATATAATAATAATATATTAATAATAATATTAATAATAATATATTAATATATAGGGAAAAAGACAAAGAAGAGGAAGAAGAGGAAGAAAAGAATAAGAAAGAAAGAATAAATAAATAAATAAATAAATAGATAAATAAATTAATTATCTTTTAATATAACAACCATTGCTGTTACATTATCTGCACAATGACCATTTTGCTGCTGATCTGCTAATGCTTGCTGCACTAGACACTCCGATGGATTCTCTCCTGCAGCAGCAGCAGCAGCAACAACAACAACAACAACAGCAGCAGCAACAGCAGCAGCACAAACACAAGAAGCAGCAAAATGAGTACATTATAACTATTATATATCCCGTGCAGCATCAGCATGAGCATCAGCATCTGCTGCTGCTGCTATTGCTGCAGTTGCTGGTGTTATTATCTACAAAAGAATAACAAGGAAAAATAGACTATAGGTTAGACCCCTTATTAATTTCGTGATGTTGTGCTTAATCCAATGGTGAGTAAATGATATTATTATTCCTTGTATAGCTAGTGTTGTTGCTGCTGTTGCTGCTGTTGCTGTTGCTGCTTACCATGTGTATATGCCTGCCAAGCTAAATGTACAGCCTGCTGAGCATTAAGGACATCCCATAGTCCATCTGTTGCTAAAATTAATATTCTATGATTTCTTAATAAACGTAAAATACGAATGTCTGGGTCACCACTTAGACCATAACTCTTTAGATCCTTACCCTGCAGCAGCAAGTGCAGCAGCAGCAAATGCAGCAGCAGCAGAAAGTGCAGCAGCAACAGAAAGGGGAACAGGAAATAATTTAGTTGTAGAAAGGGAAAGGAGGAGAATAACAACAACAAAAAAAAACACAAAAAATATATGTAATATATGGATAGGGAACAGCAGCAGCAGCAGCAAACAAACAAACAAACAAACAAACAGCAGCAGCAGCAGCAGCAACAGCAGCAACAACAGCAAGAAGACTTACCCCAAATGCTCTTGAGTACTGTAGCTGCATTGGCTGCTCTCCCTTAGACTTACGGAGACCAAAATCTCCTCCTCTTATAAAGGGTTTATTATTATGATTATGTAAATACTCTACACTACCACCACTATTCTATACACATAAATAAATAAATAAATAAATAAATTAATTAATTAATTAATTAATTAATATAAATATTATTTATTTATTAGTTTATTCATTTATTCTATTTATTTATTTAGCTTTTATTTAAATGGTTATAGGGGAAGGAAAAAAAAAAAATATGCACACACTAAACCCTAAACCCTAAACCCTAAACCCTAGAAGACAGAGAGATAACAATAAAATACATAAATAAATAAATAAATAAATAAATATAAATAAATAAATACAAATAAATATAAATAAATAAATAGATAAAAAGTAAAAGAGATATAGAAATAAGAGAGAAAGAAAGAAAAGAGATGATGAAATATTCCCATACAAATAAACAACCCTCCTAAACCCTAAACCCTAAACCCTAAACCCTAAACCCTTACGATAATTCTTTCTTGTTCTAATGGCATATTAGGTTTATGATCAACAGTCATGAATTCTCCTTCTACTCCTCCTCCCTCAACTTCTACTCCTAATGCTATACGGCTATCTCCCTATAATATATACACACAAACCCTAAACCCTAAACCCTAAACCCTAAACCCTAAACCCTAAACCCTAGATTGTAAACAAACAGGATTATGACTGTTTGTCTTATACCCATAAACCCTAATACAAACCCTACGAATATACAAACCCTAGTAAACCCTAACCCTGAATCCTCATAAACCCTAGTAAACCCTAGTAAACCCTCGTAAACCCTAAACCCTCGTAAACCCTAAACCCTTACAAGATGTCCAATAGCAAGAAACCCTCCAGCAAGTATAGCAGTAACAGAGGTAGAGGAAGCATAATCATTATTATTTAATCTGCATAATTCAATTAACTCTGCATCTGCCCCCAAGTACATACACCGCACAGCTAGTGCTAGGGCCTCAGGGAGTGCTGCTGCTGCTGCTGCTGCTGCTGCTGCTGCTGCACCAGATCCACTAGATGAATCCCCATCCCCTGATGCTGATGGCTGCTGCTGCTGCTGCTGCAGCAAAGATGTTACTCGCTGCCAACCCCTATTAGATATTAGATGAGGAACAACTAAATCCTTCACAGAGTCCGATGCAAAATCACCTATACACAAACCCTAAACCCTAAACCCTAAACCCTAAACCCTAAACCCTTAAAAAAATCTTATAAACAATACAAGAGAAATAAACACACTAATGCTTTATATATTATCATGAATGCATGCAAACAGCAGCAGCAGCAATAAATACCAATAACCAACCACAAGAAACACCACTACCACCACCACCAACAGCAGCAGCAGCAGCAGCAGCAGCAGCAGCAGCAGCAGGAACGAACCAACTGTGCCATCGAAGACACCAAAGAAGGCGGTATCATTCCTCCCAGCAATAAGTTGAGGACAAACAGTAAATCTATCCTCTTGGTGCTTACGACCCCCTGCATGCATGCATGCAGCAGCAGCAGCAGCAAGTGCAGCAAGTGCAACAAGTGCAGCAAAAATGCAGAAATAGCAGAAGCAAGTGTAGAAACAGAAACAGGAAGTGCAGCAACAGCAGCAGGAGCAGCAAACAGTGAAGCAGCAGCAGCATTAGGGAGTAACTGAGCAGCAGCAAGAGAAGGAAGCACTGCTGCAGCAGCAACACGAGAAGGAAACACTGCAGCAGCAGCAGCAGCAGCAGCACACCTATGTCCGTCTCTACGGAGACCTCAAAGGTGCCGTAGTTAGTTGGGGCCATTGGCTCGTGCAGCGTCTGCGGCAGCTCCGGTGCTGCTGCTGCTGCTGCTGCTTCTGCTGCTGGCTCAACGCCTGCTGGTGAGTGCGCCATTGCTGTCTATAGACTGCAGCAGCTGCTGCTGCTGCTCGTGCTGCTGCTAATTAGAGATGCTGCTGCTGCTGGACCTGAAAGCTAGCTGCTGCTGCAGCTGCTGCAGTAATGTGCTGGGCGAAGAACACGAAGAGCGGCGGCAGCTGCTGCTGCAGCACACAAACAAAGACAAACAAATACTGCTGCTGTTGCTGCTGCTATTGCTGCTGCTGATTTAAACAAGCTCAAATGATGCTTGTGCTGCTGCAAACGCAGCTCCTGCTGCTGCTGTAGCTGCTGCTGCTGCTGCTTCTGCTGGTGCTGGTACCTAGAAGCAGCACCCCACTTCTGCTGCTGCTGCTGCTAGCAGCAGCATGCAGCTCGATTTGCTGCTGATGATATAGAGTGCCCTGCAGCAACACCTCCGCTGCTGCAGCAGAGGCAGTAG